AATTTTAAAAAATTTTCCTTTCAAATATTAATGTTCAAATGCTGAATACCAAAGCAAGACAGATAAATAAGCATTAATTTAGGAAAAAACTAAAACAAGAACTTGGATAATTAGATCTTAAAGAGGACTAAATTCCCTGCCTTTAAAATTCTTTTTAAAATTATATTTATTTATAGTGTGTACATGCGAGATGGCACGCACATGTGTTACAACATGTGTGGAGATTAGAAGACAACTTCCAGGAGTCAGTTCTCTCCTTCTACCGTGGAAGTCCGAAGGATGGAATTCAGGCCACTAGGCTTGGCAGCAAATGACTTTACCTGCTGAGCCATCTCACTGGACCTAGTTTTAAAATTCTAATTTGGCTCAGTTCAGATATGTGTGTGCGCAGTGCATGTGTATATACATGTGTGGTTGGGACAAACTTGGGTGTCGGTCCTCACCTTCCGCCTTGTTTGAGAGAATCTGTGTTGTTCGCCCCTGTGTACATCAGGCTAGCTAGCCTACAAGTTTCCAGAGATTCTCCTGTCCATGTCCCATCTCACACACTGGGATTACAGACCTGTGCTACTGCACTCAACTTCACATAGGTTATGCAGAACTGAAGTCTTCATGCTTGTGCAGCAAGCACTTTAAGTCACCGAGCTATCTCCCCAGCCCCAAACCGGTCTTGTTTTAGAGTTCTGAAAGATATACTATTTGAACTAACTTTTAAACATCAGTTTTGAGGGTCTTCTGAAAGAGTTATTATTCTTACCTAAATGAAATTTTTAAGATAATTTTGTTACGAGAAAACTGGGTATCATTTAGAACTTTCCCATGTGGCACTGTCATGGCATAGTGACTGGCAAGTGGAAGAGGAACAGAAACCCAAGAGAGAATCATGGTAGGTGAACAAAGTGATTTCTGTCAAAGATGAGGAGTTTGAAACTCCTAGATCAGAGCATAACTTTAGCATATTATTGTGCTGGGATCAAGCCCAGGCCTTGCACATACTAGCTATATGCAGTACTATTGAGCTATACCTCCAAATCTTCTATCTTTTAAAAATATTTAAATTTTATTGCATATATTGGAGGGGGTGTATATCAAGGAACACATACAGACGTCAGAGGGTACCTTGCAGCTTTCTCCATCCACCATGTAGGCCTCTGGGATCAAACTTAGGTCAGCAGTCTTGGTGGTAAGTGCCCTTACTGAGCCATCTTGCTGGCCCAAATATTATATCTTAAGAATAAAACTGGAATATTATTTCACTTAGAATATCTAACATTTAAGTGCATTTGAAGATAGCTTAGATTCTATGTAGTGAGTTCCAGGTCAGCATGAGCTACACAGAAAGATACTATCTCAAAAACAAAAAGGACAACAAGCAAAATGCTCTCTATAGTTAAAAAAAAGGCACAATACAGTAAATTCTCCCATTTTTCCAGCAAATGTCATTTCTGAATCAAAGACTACCTTAACAAATCCTTTAATCAGAGATTTATTTCTTGTTTTCATCATCACAGTCTGCTGTAGTTCACAGACTTCCATCTCAGTAAGTTTTGAGCCACTGCACTCACAGTCTGTGTATTGCTATCTAGCACTCACCCATCAGAGCAGCCACTGCTCACAAGGACGAGGTTCACTGTTACTGCAAATCCTAGTATGCACCAGTTGTCTGTGTGGAGACAGCTGCAAATTTTCACTACATTTTCAGTTACTGAAGTAATACCTTATGGTCATCAGGAGCTACCTGCTTTTGTAATATCCTGCAGCCAACACACTATGCTAGGTACCACATATACACAATTGGCTATTACGTTATGCAAAATCACAACACAAGTAAGTTTCAGTGTAAGAGATTTACTTTTCTCTCTCAAAGCAAAAAATATCCCACAGTTCAGATTTATATAAGTAGTGCTTTCTTTAAAATAAATTAAACACAAAATGCTGTCCTGCCTGTAAAATTATAAATATTCCTAGTTCATTTTACAGAATGGTAAAACATTTATGAAAACGCATTATTTCCCACTAAATAAACACTATGGGACTAAACCCAGTAAAAAAAAAAAAAGTCATACATCTTAGAATTATATCTTTTAACATTAGACAAATTAAATCAAATAAGAAAAAAAAAGTGAAAGAGATAAGAAATTTTACAAAATGGTCACTACTACGCTCTAACAGAGAGAACTGAAATGCCTTCTCTCACTCAGTGACTAAGCCAGTTGTGGAATGAACATCTGCAGATGATAAAGTCAGGAGAGTGATTTTCAGTGCTCAGGTCAAATGACAAAGTAGACAGAAGTAATTTCCACATTGGGTAAAATAGACTTAAACCATATATCAAGAGTTGGCCAGAATATTCGATACTGATGGACTGAAGTCTTCAGTAGAAATGAGAGTTATGATTTTATGGGTGTTGCTTATTTTTACCATGTTAAGAAAGAAAACATGATTTCAAGGTACAATACAGACTGGAAAGGTGAGAAAATATATGGACTGAAGCAGCCAAAATGTCTCCACTGAACATTGATAACATGATTCAAAGAAAGGCGCTTCAGTCTTGTGGCCAGTTCAGCCTCTTTTCACATTTCATCCATCTTGAAAAACATGACTTCTGCATGGCGCCGATTCCTCTTTAGTGTGGGAAGCTGGAAACAGCTTTAAAGAGTGGCTGAACAAACCTGTTTCCAAGTCCCCAACAAAGTGACTCACTCCAGCCAACTTACAGTATCTCCAAATCCACATGCCGAATTTCAGGATTTCGTTTCTGGAAAGAAAAAACAATGTTCACATTATTCACAGCAAAATAAAACCTTCTGTTTCTTTTTAATCTTTTGGATCACCAGAGCACCTGAAAACACTGGTTTATGCTATTTCTGTTGTATACAAGCAAGTGGAACCTTTGAGTAAGATCAGTAAGTGAACACTTATAACCAGTACAGAAATAAGCCATGTCCTGAGTTCACTCATGTTTTAATACAAACATGCTTTAAGGATCTAGAATACACCAAGCATAGAAACACTGAAAAACACGGGAAATATGCTCTTTTTCATGGTGAAAAGAAAATCACTGCAAAAACAAAGCTAATACATTTATAGTACCTTACTGATATTTTTTTAAAGAAATGTTTCTTTTTTAAAATTTTATTTATTATTTTTACTTTATGTGTATGCGTGTATTGCCTGCATGTAGGTAAGTGCACCCGTGTTGTGCAATGCCCGCAGAGGTCAGAAGAGGCTGTTGGATTCCCTGGAACTGGAGTTATGAATATATTTTAGTAGTAGTCCATACAGTCTATGCTAACAAGAACTGAAGAATTTTAAAATATTTTATTATTTTTTATGTGTATGAGTATATTGCTTGCATGTATGTAAGTACACCCATGTTGTACAGTGCCCATGGAGGTCAGAACTTTTACATTAATCAAGCTTTATTCCCTTAGCCAAAAATGTTCCCATCTTAGTGGGTTAAACTTAGATTTTTTTTTTTTTTTTTTTTCATTTTTTTGAGACTGGGTCTCTGTGTACCCCCAGCTGTCCTGGACCTCACAAAGTAGACCAGGTTGGCCTTGACCCCACAGAGACCCGCCTGCCTCTGCCTCCTGAGTGCTAGGATTAAAGGCGTGTGCCACCATGCCCGGCTAAACTTAGATTTTTATTGCCAGGTGTGGTGGCTTCTGAGGACTTTAAAGACAAAGCTATTTGTAGTAAATAGTACAGAATTAAGATGCTCTTTGCCTCTACACTGTGCTGACATTCCCTATAATGGTATAGGGAACTATATGGTATACTATAAAAGTAATGTGGGTCAAATTGCTGGGTCCTTGGTACAATTCACAGCCAAGTGGAACCAAACTAAACTAGAAGTCACTGTTTCTCCTTCACGCCCAAACATTCAACAGTCAGGAAAAGTCAGCTACACAGTAAAACTGTGTAGTAGCCAAAATGTCCTTCCTGAAGTAGCAAAATGTCTCTTATTAAACCTCAACCTTTGAGTACACTTAAAAATATGGTGACTGTAGAGATGGCTCAGTGGTTAAGAGTACTTGCCCTTCCAGAAGACCTAGGTTTGATCCCCAGCAGCCACATGGCAGCTAACAACTGTCCATAACTCCAGTTCCAGGGGATCTGACACCCTTTTCTGGCCTCTGTGGGCACTGCACACATGTGGTACACTTATAAACATGCAAGCAAAACACTCATACACATAAATAATAAAATATTTTTTTAAAGTATGGTTACAGATAAAGATTTAATCAGGGGTGAAGTACTCAGTATAGTAGGAATGACTTATAATATGGAAAGAATCTAGATTACTGACTTTTATTTAACCTTGCACCAAAAAGCTGTTTATAATTTAATCAAGTTCATTAAGCCATCTCCTCCTCTGGTGACCTGGGCACCTAACCCTAATCCCTCAGGATCCCTCCTTGCCCTCCATCCAAGACAGTGGATGAATGTGGGTGTGCTTGTTTAACCTATCAAAGAGTTAGAAGCAGCTTGTTACTCTCATTGAAAGCAGTGAGAATAACTGAGAATCTGCTTTATATTGTGTGCATGAGGCATTTTAGGCCAAGAGATCAAAGGGCAAGATTCTCTGATAAGGGTAGATCCTAGCTTTTACTTCCCAAATTGATGCCAGAAATATTGCTTCAACGAAAGTATGAGAGGGATACCTATCTCAAAAGCACAGTCTGTGAGACATCTGAAGGAACAGGTGGTTCTCAGAGTTCGGGTCCACTCTAGGCCTTAAAACTAAAAGCTAAGAGTTAGGCTTTTTTTTTTTTTTTTGGTCTTTTTGAGACAGGGTCTCCCTGTAGCCCAAGCTGGCCTGGAACTCACTTTGTAGACCAGGCTGGCCTCAAACTCACAGAGACCCACCTGCCTCTGTGCTGGGTCTAAAGGTGTGCGTCACTACGCCCAGTCAGGCGGTTTCTTTATTCAGGTATAAATAAATGTAATGTGGCTTAGTTAACACAAGTCGGCATGAGGTCCAGTGACTGATCCCCAGCATCAATAAACAAACAGAAGACTATGACAAAATGGGAAGCAGGCATAAAACACTTTTGCTTCATACTCAAGTATGATGTCACAAGAACAACAAACATTTCCATGATTGCCTGAGTTGCAGGTTAACTGCTTTAAAAAAAAAAAAAAAAAAATTAAGCAGGGCATGGTTTATTTGGTTTAAAATTACAAAAAGCAGCCAGGAGTGGTGGTGCATGCCTTTAATCCCAACACTCGGGAGGCAGAGGCAGGCAGATCTCCATGAGTTCAAGTCCAGCTTGGTTTATACAGTGAGTTCCAGGACAGCTGGGGCTACAGGGAGACCCTGTCTCAAAAAGACCAAAAAAAAAAAAATTACAAAGTTCTAATTTATAATATTTAGACAGCATCATGCCCAGATAAAAGACCATCAAGAGCACAAAGGCAGATTGATGAGTTTTGGGGAGGGAGGGGCAATTTCATTTTTGTTTTAGACAGTCTCCCCGTAGTCTCTGCTGGCCTGAACTCACTACATAGACCAGGCTGGCATGAACCTCACAGAAATCTGCCTACCTCTGCTTCCCAAGTGCTGGGATTAAAGGCATGCACTACCATGCCCAGCCTAACAGGTTTTAGCATAACAATGAATAGTAAAAAATTAATCAAAAAAAAAAAAAAAAGAAAGAAAATTAATCTTTCCCAAAGAAAGGTCTGGTCTTTGTCCTCAGTTATTACAAGGTAGTTTCTATGCTCTCAAAATTCCTGCCTGAGATTTTGTTTATCTGAGGGTATGAGAAACCTTTTGGGGCTCAAATTATAGGAGGGCCTCCACAGCTACCTGGCACTCACTCATGTGGGTGTCTAGGGGTCTGAACTCTAGTCCTTATACTTGTAGGGCAGATGCTTTAATTGCTAAGCCATCTCCCCAGCCCCAACCCTGAAATTTTTTTTGTTTTTTTTGGTCTTTTTGAGACAGGGTCTCCCTGTAGCCCCAGCTGTCCTGGAACTCACTATGTAGACCAGGCTGGCCTTGAACTCACAGACAGACATCTGCCTGGCTCTGTCCCCGAAGTGCTTGGATTAAAGGTGTGCACCACCATGCCTGGCTGAACTTTTTGAGCATCATGCCTTCATCTCTGTAGTGCTGGGATTATAGTGCACTATAGTGCTAGGTGTGTGTGCTACCATACTCAAATTTATGTGACACTAGGGATCCAACCCAAGGCTTTGTGCATCTAGGCAAGCATTCTACCAACTGAGCTACACACCAAGCATCCCCATGGTTGATATTCTTAATTTTCTTGTTATTTATTATTTTATGTGTATGAGTATTTTGCCTGCATGCATATAAGTGCACCATGTGTGCAATGCCTGTGGAGACCAAAGAAGGCATCAGATCCCTTGGAGCTTGAATTATGGACAATTGTTAGCTGCGATGAAGGTGCTAAGAACCCAACTTGGGTCCTCAGCAAGAACAGCCAGTGCTATTAATTGCTGAGTCAAATCTCCAGCCCCCATGATGGATTTTAATTTACATCCTGTGGTGGTTTGAGTAAGTGTCCTCCACAGACTCTAAGCATTTGAACACTTTGTCTCCAGTTGGTGGCAATGCTTTGGGAAGTTTTAGGAGGTGTGCCCTTGCTGAAGAAACACTGGGGGTGGGCTTAGAGAGTCCTTAAGCCTTACAGGATTTCCTGTCTCTCTCTGCTTCTCTCTGCCTACTTGATGTGATGGTTCGGCTTTCTGCTTTGCCACCTTCTGCCACCATGCCTCCCCCATCGTTATGGACTCCAGTTCCTCTGGAATCATAAGCCAAATAAACTTTTCCTTCTATAAGTTGCCATGGTCATGGTGTCTTATCACAGCAACAGAAAAGAAACTAGCACATATCCTTTCCCTATAATAAACCCTAACCACAGGAGTGTATGTAGTTCAGTGGCACAGAGCTTGTCTGGCATGTAGAAAGACAAGGAAGGGAGGGAGGGAGAAACCACCATCATGAGAATGACATCATGGAGTTGCATTCCAAGTCCCTCTTGTGAATTATCAAGTGCAAGGGTGGTCTTAACCTCAAATTCACAACTGATATTTTAAAAAGGTGTCTTGCTGGGCATGGTGGCACACACCTTTAATCCCTGCACTCGGGAGGCAGAGGCAGGCGGATCCCTGTGAGTTCGAGGCCAGCCTGGTCTACATTGTGAGTTCCAGGACAGCTGGGGCTACAGGGAGACCCTGTCTTAAAAAGACCAAAAAGAGGTGTCTTGTAGACTATGTCCCTAACTTCATGAAACAGCTTATGCAAAGTTCTTTGAAGCCAGGTGTGGTGGCACATGCCTGCAATCCTGGCAAATTGGGAGGCCAAGGGAAGAGGACTGAAACCTCAAGGACAGCCTGGCCAACACAGCAAACTCCTGTTTTAAAATAAAATACAAGAGTTAGGGGTTTTGTTTAGTGGCAGACAGCTTGCCTACCATGCTTAATGCCCTGGGTTCAATTCCTGGTTACAAATGCATATACACACATATATGCAATTCATATACAAATTCATTCATGAGGTTTCAGATTTCTTGCTGTAAACTAGGCTTTAAGAGGCTACCAGCTGTCAGGGTGAGGTGAAGCATAAAAAGAAAATATCCCAGCTATCTGAGCAGCTACAGAAATACTCATCACTTTATTTATTTATTTTTTTTTCCATTTCAGAAAAACAGTTATTTTACATTAAATTGTTATTTATATTAACAAACATTTGCTTTTAAGATGAATATCCAGGGGCTAGAGAGGTGGCTCAGTGGTTAAGAGCACTGAGTGCTCTTAAGGAGGGCCTGGATTTGATTCCCAGCACCCACATGGCAGCTAATAACTGTCCATAACACCAGTTCCAGGAGAATTCAATGCCCTCTTCTGACCTCTGTGGGCACAGCACAACACAGGTGACACAGGTGCACTTACATACATGCAGAAAATACACTCATACACACTAAGAAACAAAAACAAACAAACAAACAAAAACCCCGAGTATTAAGAAGCTGGAGAGATGGCTCAGTGGTTAAGAACACTGGTTGCTCTTGCAGAGAACCTAGGTTCGGTTCCCAACACTCACATGGTAGCTAACAACTGTCTAAAACTCCAGTTCCAGGGAATGTGGTGCCCTCTTCTGACCTCTGTGGGCATTGCACAACATGAGTACACTTACATGTAGGTAATACACTCAAGACACATGTTTAGTATTATATTCTAGTTTTCTAACTTTTGTCAGCACATTATTTCTGACAAATGCATCTTACTTTCAGTTCCTTCTCCAGTCTATCTACTTCAGCTCCTAGAGTGTCAATAATGTTTTCTCCATGTTTAAGCATAAAGGCCTCTAGTTGTTCAGGAGTTTTCACTTCTTGAATTTCCTATAAAGAAAACAAAATCAAGAAAGCAAAGTAATTAAAAAAAAAAAAACTACAATAGTACATTCATGATTCCATTAAAAAAACTTGTGGCATCATTAAATTTAATGAAAACCAAAGAGACTAGGCTGTGGGCAGTGGGCTTCTCATCACCAAAAAGCTCAGGTAATGCTGTGCACAGAAGCACTACAAAACTAATAGCAAAAGAATACTCATGAAGACAGTGACCTTCCTATAAGGAAAAAATATTAAATCTTTACCTCAGTCTAGTAAGTAAACAATTTAAAGCAGATTAAAGACCTAAAGGTAAAGAGTCACACAATTTTTAGAAGAAAAAAAGAAAATGTTCTTGTGATAAAGGGACAAAGATGGACTTTTCACTCAAGTTAAAAGGCTCAGAAGTGCTGGGCACAGCGGCACTCATCTGTAATCCAGCACTCGGGAGTTATCAAGAGACAGAGCTCAGTCTCAACTACAGAGAAAATTTGAAGCTTGCCAGGCTTATTATCAGACCCTGTCTCAAAAGAAAATAAAAAGTATAGAGGGAAAGGATACAAAGTTCATGTTAAAGACTATGCTTAACTCTTCTATATAATGGCACACCAGAAAAGGGTATTTGTATATATATAAATGAAGGATTTGTGTCCAGCATATTCAAAACAAAATGCTTACAAATCTGTCAGAAAATACAAATTAACTACAAATAAAAAGGTGCAATGTAAAGGAAAATCCCAATGGTCAGAGAATTTTGATGTTTATTAATTTTATAACTCTCTAAGAAATAAAAATAAAAACAAGATACAATTTCACACCAATTAGTGTGGAAAAACTTTTGAAACTGTGTCAGTGTAATCTCTTAAGAATGTGATGCAATAGAAACTCTGATAGGCTGATAGCAGAAGATAACTGACATGCTTTGGAGAGTAACTTGGCAATATCTATGAAGTTGAAGAACGCACATTCTATGGTCTTCATCTGTCTCCAATTATACAACCTCTATACCACCACCAAGAAACATGTGAGTGACTAGGAAATAGAGGAGGCCCCAGAATGGTATGGCTTCTTATTTTTTCTTTTGATTTGAGATAGGGTCCCAGGTGCCTCAAAATCATAATCCTCCTGTTTTAGCCTCTAAGTGTTGGGATTACAGGTACGTGCTACCATGCCTAGCTTGTAGCATTGTTTCTAATAGCTAACATTAAAAATAATACAAATATTCGGCTGGGAAAAGAAAAATATAAATTACATTCACTGCATGGAATAATAGTAAACAACAGTAGCAGAAAATTATCCAGAACTATGTAAATAAAGAATCTCAGAAATATATTGTAACGGACACTATATAAAGGTTCATACAGTATTTGTTTTGTTTGAGATAGGGTCTCCCTGTAGCCCCAGCTGGCTTGGACCTTGCTATGTAGATCAGGCTGGCCTCGATCTCACAGAGATCCACATGCCTTTGCCTCCTAAGTGCTGGGATTAAAGGTGTGTACCACCACAAAAGGCACATATTATACACTGCAAGCATTCAAAATATTATATTTAATGATAAAAAAAATGCAATGTCTTAGCTGGGCATGGTGGCACACGCCTGTAGTCCCAGCACTTGGGAGGCAGAGGCAGGCGGATCTCTGTGAGTTCAAGGCCAGCCTGGTCTACATATTGAGTTCCAGGACTGCTGGGGCTACAGGGAGACCCTACTTCAAAAAGACAAAAAAAAAAAAAAAAAAGCAACGTCTAAAAATTTGAGGAAATGACAGGTATCAAATTCAGTACGATAGCTAACTCTAGGGATAAAATAAGGCAAATAGAATTTTGAAAAAAAAAACGAGGCTTGGACTATTGTAATAATTTCTTTTAAGATCTTAAGAAAACACAGTACATGTTTGGCACCCCTACTTTGAAAATCCAAAATGTTCTGAAATCTGGCTCTTTTTTTTTTTTTTTCTCTTTCTTTTTGAGACAGGGTTTCTCTGTAGCCCCAACTGTCCTGGAACTCACTATGTAGACCAGGCTGGCCTTGAACTCACAGAGATCCACTTGCCTCTGCCTCCTGAATGCTGGGATTAAAGGCATAGGCCACCATGCCTGGCAAATCTGACATTTTTAAGCACTGACATAACACTCAAAAAATTCATTTTGGGCAGGACATATAGCTCAGTTGGAGAGTGCTTGACCACCATGTAGGAAGTCCTGGGTTCAATCTCTAGCACCATATAAACCAGGTGAGGTGGCACACGCTCATAAATCCAGCACTACTGGGGTAGAGGCAGAGCATCAGATGCTTAAGGTCATCCTTGGGTACATAGTAAATTTGAGGCCAGCCTGGGCTACATGAGACCCTGTCTCTAAACAAAGGAGGAGTTTTAGCTTAAGGACACTCAATTTATAAAAACCTATGCAACTATTTTTTAAAAATTTAAAAACCCTGAAATTGGATCTATTTCAGGTCTCTAACATGTTCTTTGAAAAATATTCACCCTATATAACAAAATGTTGAGTTGATAATATTAAGTACTAATATCTGTCCTGTTCACTATGTTAGCTTCTGTAAATTCTCTTTTAAATGACAGCATTCCCCCCTTTATCTAAGGGATATGGTCCAAGAGCCCAGTTGACAGCCAAAACCATAGTGCCGAACCCTATCTTACATTTTTCATATACAAACATGTCTATGATAAAGTTTAGTCAATTAAGCACAGTAAGAGATTAATGATAAAATACAACAACTGTTAACAACGTAACTAAAGCAACATGAATAGGCATGGAAATGCTAGGGAAGGGTAATTCATGTCCTGGAAGGACAACATACTGCTCAGAAAGGCAATTTAAAGTTTATGTTTAGTTCTTGAATTTTCCACTTATTATGTTTGAACTCAGGTAATTTAAGCCACAGAAAGTAAAATAGTGAAGGGGGTGAATATGCTATCATATTAATAAAAAAGCATAGATTCTAGAGTCAAAGGTCAGATTCATATGGGACTCTACATACATGGTCCTAAATCTTTAGAGAAGTTACTTAATCTGTTGTCTAAATTTACCTATATGTTAGACTATAAGTGTTATTTCTTATATTGGGATTGTTGAAACATTACATAAAACAAGTATTAACAACTCAATGAAGTTTGTTTTTTGGCTCTCCCTTTGAATGATTGAATTTTGGAACTAAGAAGTTGATAGGTGAAGTGACTTTAAGATCGTAAGAAAAAAGTTTTATTTACTTTGAAAGTAACCTTTTAACCATCATCTACAGAAGAAAATGATGAATACATAAAACTTACTTGAAGCATTTGGTCAAAATCTTGTTTTTCCAAATATGATCTTGTAACAACACGTCCATCGAAATCAACTTCTGCCTTAAATCTTACTTTGCCTAATCCTAGATCTGTGGCTTTCACATCATGAATTGCTCTGAAATTAATAACAGTGAATATAAGTCAATATAAACACACACATGCATACTATAATGGCAAATTCTCCTTCTCCAATAATGATGAGCACAGGCTAAGATGGCTTCAGAGTACTCACCATTAAGTGCCAGTGTTCTCTAAGGCTGACCATCTTCTAAGCATAATGCCAAACCAAAGCATAAGCTTAATAAAGACTATTTCATGATAATTTATATACATGAGATAAATGTACATTACAAAATTCACTAACTCTAAAGTGTTTTTCTAAAATGTTGTCTGGTTGATTTCGTAAACCTTCCTCCATCTATCCATTTACCAATTTCCTAGTAACATTTACAAGAAACATACACAATACCAAACACACAGGACCAGAAAAGAAACTCCTCATATTATATAATAGTCAAAACACAAAATGTACAGAATGAGAAAAGACACTGAAAGCTGTCAGGGAGAAAGATCAAGCCACATACAAAGGCAGGCCCATTAGAATAACACCTGCCTTTTCCTTTTTTTTTTTTTTTTTTTGTCTTTTTGAGACAGGGTCTCCTTGTAGCCCTAGCTGTCCTAGAACTCACTATGTAGACTAGGCTGGCTTCGAACTCACAAAGATGTGCCTGCCTCTGCCTCCCAAGTGCTGGGATTAAAGGCATGCGCTACCACGCCCAACTCCTTTTCTTCTTTAAAAAATATTTTCTTTATTATTTTTTATTTTATGTGTGTTCGTGTATTGCCTGCATGTAGGTAAGTGCACCCATGTCATGCAATGCCCGTGGAAGACAGAACAGGACCTGGAGTCAGATCCCCTGGACCTGGAGTTATGGACTGTTGTTAGCTGCCATGTGGGTGCTGGGATTCAAACCCGGGTCTTCTGCAAGAACAGTCAGTGTTCTTAAGCGCTGTACCATCGCTACAGCCCCCAACACCTGCCTTTTCAATGGAGACTTTGAAAGTCAGAAGGGCTTTGACTGATGTTTTATAACTCTTGAAAGAACAGACATGCCAGTCCAGACTACTATACCCAGTAAAACAGTTGTGCTGGGCATGGTGGCGCAGGCCTTTAATCCCAGCACTCGGGAGGCAGAGGCCAGCCTGGTCTCCATAGTGAATCCAGGCCAGCTGGGGCTAGAAGGAGACCCTGTCTCAAAAAGACCAAAAAAAAAAAAAAAAAAAAATACCCCACCTCCCCAAAACCCCCAAAACTACCAGCTGAAATCAAAGAACAACTTCCCATGAAAAAAAAAAAAAAAACAGATTTATTTAGGGGCCAGGCGTGGTGGCACATGCCTTTAACTCCAGCATTCAGGAGGCAGAGGCAGGCAGATCTCTGTGAGTTCAAGGCCAGCCTGGTCTACATAGTGAGTTCCGAGACAGCTGGGGCTACAGGGAGACCCTGTCTCAAAAAGACCAAAAACAACAACAACACCCCCCCGCCAAAAAAAACCAAAATAACTCCTCCGAAAAAACCCCCAAAACAACAATACCCTATAGGGTTCATCTTTTTGCTGTCTCCAAAAAAACACATTTTACCATCAGTGACAGACACCATCTTAGGGTAAAAGAATAGAAAAAGACATTCTAAGAAAATTGAACTAAGACACAATCTCTGGAGAGACAGGAAAGAATGTATGAAGCCGTTGAGGTAGATTACCACAACAAAACTTTCTTCCGGATAAAATATTAGTTGCACATATGCACAAGACCTGTGCAAGATCAAGCCAGCCAAAATCCCAGCATGGAGTGGGGAGGTGGTCACAAAGTGCCATCCCCAGCTGAGGAGCTACTGGCAACTGATGACTGCTGTGGAAGGAGAGCCTGTTTCCTTCAGGGATGTGGGACATAAGAGGCTACTCATGCATGTTCCTAAACCCATGCACATACAGATAGCACTAAGTGGGCTCATTGGTTTCAAAAAACAGAGCACATGAAGTCAGGAGTGAAAAATGGTAGGGGAATAGGAGAGGAACTGTAGGGGAGGGAACGAGGGCAGGTTAGCTCAAAACATAACATATACATGCATAAGATTCTCAAACAATGAAAAGGAGGAGAAACACAAATCAAAAGATTCATACAGAAAAGCTCATTTTCAGATGGCTTCACTGCTAAATTTTACTAAACACTTAAAAAAGAAATTAATATCAGGCTGGAGAGATGGCTCAGCAGTTAAGAACACTGGTTGTTCTTGCAGAAGACCCGGGTTTGTATCCCAGCACCCACATGGCAGCCAGCAACTGTCCTAACTCCAGTTCCAGGGGCTCTGACAGCCTCTTCTGTCCTCTGCGGGCATTGCATGACATGGGCGCACTTACCTACACTCAGGCAATACACGCATACACATAAAATAAAATTTAAAAAATTAAAAAAAAAAAATCAATCCTTTACAAACTCTCCCAAAAATTGAGGGATGACTTCCCAACTTATTCTATGAAGTCAGTATTATTAGGGATATTTATATAGCATATCTTATATAAAATAACTAAGTTTAATATTGATTTTCAGAATATTCAATTTCTATTTATGGTCCAAGTAATTATTTTGCAAGCTTAAACATACAAGTTTTAGAATATAAATCAAGTAATTACTTACATGCTTTACTAATTCAGATATACAGGACATTTTAGAAAACCTCAGAGGTTTCAATTATAGCACACCATCCAAATTCACGCTGAGGTATGAATTCCTCAGTACAGCAGTGTTGAGAAGTGGGGCTTAAGGGGTGGTATCTGGGTCATGGGGTGAAGCCTCAGCAATAGATTAAGGCCACCTCCTGGAAGTCAATTAACTCTTACTCTTGCAGGACTTCACTAGTTACGAGAGCCAGCTGCTGTAAAGCATGGCCACCCCTCTTATTTTGTCTCTTCTAAATGAGTCTATGTGCCCTCCCACTTTCTACCCTAAGTTGTAGCAGCATGAGACTTCTGCAGGTCTATATACTTCCCTGCCTCCAGAACTAATTACCTAGTCTCTGGTATCCTATGATAGCAACAGAAAACATACTAAGACCTTTAAATAAAGAGGGCAGACTAAACACCTTCCTGTTTTAAAATTTGAAAAAAAAAAATATTATATTTAAGTATTAGTTCTATATGACTGTGGGCAAATATCATGGTTTTGGAGGTTTCAAAACGTGGTTGACTGGATCTATTGCCTCAGGCTTGAGGCAAAGCAGACCATCATGGCGGGGGGCAGGGGGAGTATGTGATAGAGAAGCTTGCCACTCCATTACATCCAGGAAGCAGGGATAGGAGACCAGGTCCTAAATATCCTTCAAAGACCTACCTCCTCCAACTAACTCAGTGCCAGCTCCTAACAGCCCATTTAGCTCTGAGCTCAACAGATCCATGAAGTTAGCGCTCTCATAATTCAATCATTTCTCAACAGCTCCACATCGTAGGACCAAACCTTCATCACATGACTTATGGGAGACATGAGAGTTCATATCCAAATTATAGCAACAGGTTAGTGAAGACTAAAATTTACTGTTGTTGTTGGCATGGTGCTAGAAACTGAACCCTATACCTCACGCATGCTAGCAAGTGCTTGACCAATGAGCTATAGCCCCAGTACTTCATTATGAAGCCACATTGCCACTAAGTACTACTTAAAGTCACCACCAGAACCCTGTAGCGATTCTGACTATCTCAGCAGTCTTCCGTTCTTTAGTTTTTACACAATTTAAAAGAAAGGGGGTGGCTATATAGTTCATCAGTACAGTACTTGCCTAGCATGTGTAAAGTCCTGGGTTCAATAGGCAGCACTAAGAACAACAACAAAGATAAAAAGTATATGTGTTGGGGGTGTTTAAAAACTCAAAGACTCTTTTCAAAAGATACGTTATAAGTGACATGTACTCTGGTAATCATTTTCCCATGAATAAAAGCTTTTTTTTCCTTCTTAGATTTCATACATTCAATTTATAACTGTAATACAAATATAAGACAAATATAAAAATTCAGTATTGTGGTTCTTCATTAATAACGTCAGTATATATACTACTTCTATTCCTATTAATAATGTCAGTATATATGCCACTTCTATTGTCATTGATAACGTCAGTATATATACCACTTCTATTCTCATTGATAACGTCAGTATATATACCACTTCTATTCTCATTGATAACGTCAGTATATATACCACTTCTATTCTCATTGATAACGTCAGTATATATACCACTTCTATTCTCATTGATAACGTCAGTATATATACCACTTCTATTCTCATTGATAACGTCAGTATATATACCACTTCTATTCTCATTGATAACGTCAGTATATATACCACTTCTATTCTCATTGATAACGTCAGTATATATACCACTTCTATTCTCATTGATAACGTCAGTATATATACCACTTCTATTCTCATTGATAACGTCAGTATATATACCACTTCTATTCTCATTGATAACGTCAGTATATATACCACTTCTATTCTCATTGATAACGTCAGTATATATACCACTTCTATTCTCATTAACATCAGTATATATACCACTTCTATTCTCATTGATAATGTCAGTATATATACCACTTCTATTCTCATTGATAACATCAGTATATATACTACTTCTATTCTCATTGTGTCATCCTACTGTATTTTATTCTAAAAGGTATGCAGACTTAAAAGGAAATTTCCAAGGAGTTTCCTAAAGGTACCTGTTTCCCTTGAAGATGGTAATTCACAAGGCTTTTGTAAGTCACCCAAAGAGCATCACTAAAATAAGGCTGACCTGGGTGGGGCTGGAGAGATGGCTCAACGGTTAAGAACACTAATTGCTCTTACAAAGGACATGTGTTCGATTCCCAGAACCCATAAGGGGGGCTAAAAACTGTCCCTACTCCAGTTCCAGAGGATACGATGCCCTCTTCTGATCTCCATGGGCATTGCACGACACAGGTGCACTTACACATATGCAGGCAATACATTTATACACATAAAATAAAAATAATAAAATATTTTTTTGAAAAACAAACAAAAACCCAACAAGGCTGACCTTACTGATGGGTCACTCTCCAGGAGTTCAGTAAGCCGCTGTACTTGTTCTGGTTGTATGGATCGTCCTAAGAGTGCTTCTGTATTAGTGTAGATGAGAAATGTCGAGACCATACCTAGTAAGGTGCCCACACCCAAAGAACCTAGGCTGTCATACAACGGATTGCCTAAATGAAGCACACAAGAAATCAGGGAATTAGCATTTCCTACTTTTTCAAGGAGTTTTAGAGAGCAAACAGCCAGGCAAATAAATCAAGATGCTTGAAGTTCACTCGTAATTCCTTTAGTTACTTCCTTTAATGACTAATAGCTTTACTATACCTCAAAACAGAGACACGCTCAAGTTTCTTCATATTTACATAAGTGTTATGTGAACTATTTAAGAGCTGTTTCTTATATCTGATCATTACCTAGGCAAGAGTTCAAAGTATATTCTGATTACAAATACAAAATGGATACTAACATAATGGAAAGTCAATTTCTTTCAGATACATCAGTACCATTTTTGTAACCCGTATTATATTTAACTCTTTTTGTTTGTTTCTTTGGAGGCATGGCCTCAAACTCATGGCAATCCTGTCTCAGTCTCTTAGAATCATAGGCATGATAAATGACAAGCAGCTTATTTAACCTTTTTAAACATTAAAAAAGTTAGCCAGGTATGGTGGTGTTTGCCTTTAATTGCAGCACCCAAGAGACAGAGGCTGGTGGATCTCTGTGAATTTGAGGCCAGCCTGGTCTCCATAATGAGCTCCAGGCTAACCAGTTACATACTGAATCTCTACCTCAATAAATTTTAAGACTCGGGGCTGGAGAGATGGCTCAGCGGTTAAGAACACTGACTGTTCTTGCAAAAGACTGGGGTTTGAATCCCAGCACCCACATGGCAGCTAACAACTGCCTGTAACTCCAGTTCCAGGGGATCTGAGAGCCTCTTCTGTCCTCTGCAGGCACTGCACGACATAGGCGCACTTACCTACAATGCAGGCATAACACTCATACACACAAAAATAAAAATAATATTCAAAAAAATTTTAAAGACATTTTTATTGTGTTTGTGTGACCGAACAAGTGTGAACACATGTGCATGCCTGCATGCAAACCATGACATGCATGTGGAGGTCAGAGACAGTTTTGGGGAATTGGTTCTCTCCTTCTATTATGTGGGTCCTGGGGACTGAACTCAAGGCATCAGGATTGACTTATCTGCTGAGCCATCTCACCAGCCCTTATTTAACTTTACAAATTGATCAAATATTTATTTTACTAAAAAATCTTAATTATGCATTAGTTTTATTAACATGTAGTGAAAATGTAACACAAAAAGGAAACTTATTTATCTTTACAAATTGATCCACTTGTAAAGCATAACGCATTACAAGATTTATGTTTACAGAGTTCAAAATTAAATATTGCTCTTTAGAAATATAAAGTCAATGGGGCTGCAGAGATGGCTCAGAGATGAAGAGCACTCACTGATTGCTCTTACAGAGGACCCGAGTTCTCGTCCCATCACCCACATGGCAGCTAACAACTGTCTCTAACTCCATTTCTAGGGGATCAAATGCCCTCTCTGACCTCCAAGGGCATTGCGCTACACATGTGCATTTGCACACATGCAGGTAATACACTTAAACACATAAAATAATAAATAGGAGACTGGAGAGCTGGCTCAGCAGTAAGAGCACTGGCTGCTCTTGCAGAGGACTTGGCTTCGAGTCCCAGCACCCACATGGCAGCTAACAACTGTTCATAACTCCAGTTCCAGGGGAATCCGACATCCTCTTCTGACTCCCATGGGCATTGCATGACATGGGTGCATTTATATACATGTAAGCAAAACACTCATACACTTAAAATAAAAATAATATTTTTAAAAACTAAATAAAAGAAATTTCAAAAAGAAATACAAAGTCAAAGAATTGTTCATTAATAATTTATGTTCAAAATTGGGTAAAGGCCAATCAAAGTATCTATCAATACTTTCAGAACATTACAAATCACAGTCAACACAAGACATGCTGCTTTAGTCTTTACACGTTCATTTGAAATGGGGAAGAATGATTTGTATTTAGGACCACTTGAAGAAACACTGTAGAACTATATAGTTTGTCATGAGTTTTTAAAATTTAAAACTTCTGCAAGAGCAGCCAGTGTTCTTAACCACTGACCCATCTCTCCAGTTATGAAAAACTATTTTAAATAAACGAGAAAGCAAGGATGAAGCTCCATTCCCAGAGAATCCAACGTTACAATCTGAGTAGACACTTAAACCAAATGGTTGTTTTAGAAAATAAAACTAGTTCTCTGTTTTCTTATACCTGAATTGTATTAGCCCTCAAGACTTAACTAGCTACCAAAATGAGGAGGAACGAAAAGTGAATTAAGAACTATGGAGGCAACAGAGGTCATTATTGACACTAAGAGCAGAAGGAGAGAAGTGAACCAGAGCTGTGCTTCATAAAGTGCCCTCTCATACTATCTAAACCTATGAGGTTACGAGAGGAAATCATCCTGACGCTGTCACAGATGAACTTAAAGCTCGAATGACTGCAGAATTGAAGTCGCAGGTACAAAGGCTTAGAAACTACAATGATCTTCTGATGCCTTTCCTTCTCATCCCAGAAATTTCTAATTCAGAAAAATCTGAACATGCTTATTGACCAAATCATTTTATGATGAATTTTTAAAGTTAGAACACAAAGTGTTGGGTTTCACTATTTTCCTTATTCACCCACCTCCTTGCTGCCCCCTTCCTCCTGCCAAATAGTCTTCCCTTTCATTTTCATGACACAAGCATTCCATCACCTGCTGTTTTCTGCTCTCCTTCCTTAGTATCTCCTCTCACACACATATTTAAGTCTAGATTGTGCATATGAGAGAAGATAGGCAGTGTCTAAGATTGGCTTATTTTGCTAAACATAATGATAGCCAGTTACATCCATTTTCCTCCAAATGTATTTATCAAATATATAAATAAAAATTAGTACAAAATATTTAATAATCCACTGGTTTAAAATTATTCAATGATATATGACAAACTTCCATATATTAGAGAATTAAATACTAGAAATAAATCATCCGTAATTTAAGAAATACCTACCTGTTATAGAAGTAAGGCCCATGCAAGTGGCTGCTATTATCACGCCTAAGACAGCTGCGGTATCCTCCAATAATACAACATTGGTACTAGGATCACGACTTTCCATGACTTAATCATTTGGGGAAAAGACAAGAAAATTTCTGAAATCTTAACTTGACATTACTAGAAGACATTTCAACAAGCACCTACTTAAAGTCAAGCTATAAATTTAAGACAAAAATGTATGAAAGATAACAGTTTTATAAACCTTATTTTTTATGGTAGATGCTAATAATAACTGTTATGTAAAGTCAAATTACTTTTCTAAGTTATATAGGTATTTGCAAAAACAAAGAAGATCATTTAAGTCTGAAGAGAAAGTATCCTATGCTCAAATCACATTACTTTTCTCTCTCCTATAAAAAATTATTTATGGAGAGATGGCTCAGCGGTTAAGAGCACTGACTGCTCTTGCAGAGGATCTGGGTTTGATTCCCAGCATCCACGTGGTGGCTACGAACTGTCCTTGACTCCAGTTCCAGGGGAATCTGACACCCTCTTCTGACCTCCGTGGCAATGCATGACATGGGTGCACTCACATACATGCAGGCAATACACTCATACACATAAAATAAAAATTGAAAAAAAAACAAAACATTTTTAAAAATTATTATTTTTTTATTTTATGTGTATGGGTGTATTACTTGCATGTGTGTAAGTGCATGCGTGTCATGCTATGCCTGAGGAGGTCAGAAGTGGGCACTGAATCCCTGGAACTGGAGTTACAGACAGTTGTTATGTGCCATGTATGTACTGGGAATTGAACCGGGGTCCTCTGCAAAAACAGTCAGCGCTCTTAACTGCTGAGCCATCTCACCAGCCTCTACTTTTCTTTTTATAACAGAGCTAGTTGTTTTAGAAGAACAATATAAAGAAGACTCTGAGATATATTTTATATCATTAGTAACAAAGCAATAGCACTAAAAAGTTTAAAGCAAGTTAAACAGAGAAAATCAACACCTGGCTTTTAAAATACATACCATACTTATAAAATGATGTTCCTTTTGCCTGAGCACTCCTGCGAAGTTCATTTATAGCAACAAGAAGTGTTGCTGAAAGAAAAGTATCATTATTAGCAAGGAAGAAACTTCGTGTATCCAAACTTTAAGGATAGCATTTCCAAGATAAGTAAATAAGCACAATACTTCAACAGTGTAGCTGGCGATAAGAAAGGGTCTGTGTTAACAGTCGCTATGAATGCTCCAATTAATCATTACAGTAAAATGGATTTCTAAAGCCTAATTGCAAAACACAATTACTAAAGCTATAGCCTTAGTCTACCAAGCCACCATTGTTTGGCAAACACTCACTAAGCAAAATCACCTTTGAATCTCCCAACTTTTTGAGGATTATCATCATTTTATAGCCTATCAATGAGAAAAGATCCCATAAATATGTATGATTATGATCTGCCCATTTAAAAATATATTAATTAAATGGCTGGAGAGATGGCTCAGCAGTTAAGAGCTCTGGCTGCTCTTGCAGAGGACCCTGGGTTGATTCCTAGCACCCATATGGTGGCTAACAACTGTCCATAACTTGAGTTCCTGGGGAATCTGATACCTCCTTCTAACCTCTGCAGGCACTGCATGACATGGGTGCACTTACATACATGCAGGCAATACACTCATACACATAGAAAAATAATATTTTTTAAAATGTATTAATTTATGCTGGGTGTGGTGGTACACACCCTTAGGCCCAGCACTAGGAAGGCAGAGGCAGGCCGATCTCTGTGAGTTTGAGGCCAGCCTGGTCTACATAGTGAGTTCCAGGCCAACTGGGGCTACAGGAAGACCCTGTCTCAAAAAGACCAAAAAAAAAAAAAAAAAAAGTATTAATTTTAAAAAGCAAAAGGACTAGAGAGCAGGCTCTGTGGGTTAAAGTGCTTGCTGTGTGATCATGAGGACTCGAGTTCAGAGCCCAGCACCCACATAACAAGTCAGGCATCCTGCAAACAACTGTAACTCTAGCTCTGAGGGATCTGATGCCCTCTTCTGGCCTTTGTATGTACAAAGACACTCATTCCCACACATACACATGCGCATATACTTACACAGATAACAGGTACCAACACAAAAAATAAATAAGAGCTTTAAAGAGAAAAGGGATGAAGAGAATACTATGCACAGACAATGACAATCTTTTATGGAGAGCAGTGACTTAGGCAGTTTCATATTGATATTAGCAATTATGTCCTAATATTGCAATAGCTATATTTTAGAAATTATGAAATATTCTTATTTTAAAAAGAGTTTTCTTCTCATTAGCACCACTAAAATCTGATTTTCAAAATCAGTACAGTTATGTATTTTACACTGTATTTCCAGTGTTCTGAGCACTCTATGATACCCATAAACAAAGCATACTTTCCCCTCTGCCCTCATTCATTATAGCAACAATCACAGTACATTTTACAAAGACTTTCTTCTCTAAAAAGCAGGCAACACTTATGTTCCTAATATCAAAGTATTAACAGAATTTAGCAATCTATAATGAATGGGCTATTGAATATGTACCACTAGATTGAAAATACTTTGTGCCAGTACATACCTCCTTCAGACACCAAAGATCCTGCTAAAATACAATATGCCTAGAAAAGGGGCATTAAAATAAGTCACAAATTAAGTATTTGGCCAAAGAATCATAGTTGTAATAAAATCTGTAATATCTAAGACATAAATCCAAATTCAGGCTAGGTACTAAGGATCTTGTTGGCAACAACTCAGATGAGAACAATAAAATACAGAGACAGTTGGGTGTGATGGCTCATGCCTTTAATCCCAGTACTTGGGAGGTAGAGGCACTTGGATCTCTGTGAGTTTGAGGCCAGCCTGGTCTACATAGTGAGTTCCAGGCCAGCTGGGGCTATAGGGAAACCCTGTCCCAAAAAGACCAAAAAAAAAAAAAAAGATGTAGGAGCAAAATTACTAAGACAATTCCTCCACATTACTTGAATTCTTCTTCATTCATTGAGAAATGTTGTCTCAGAAGGACCAAGAAATAAAAAATAAAATAAACACAATTAAAAATTTAACTAATCAATCTCTAACTTCAGAGACTGTTTTGCCCCTGTAAAGTGATGCTGTTCAAAATTAGATAGATGAACAGTAGCACCATCAGGTACTGTGTCTATAAAGTGGGCAAACCTTTTCAGAACAGAATATGTTTACCCATTTTAATGATGATAAACATGCTGAGCTGTTGGGATTGCTCAGAAATCTGGATGCATACTCCTAGGAGTTTAGAGAGCATAGAAAACTGTAGTACACATTTGAACAATAACTTGTGAGGCCACTGATGGTGACTGTCATGTCAGCAGAGTGGATGACTGTGTTTGGGAAAAATTCATAGTCCCACAGAAAGTAATGTCTTATGCCTAGGTCTTGGCTATGGAGCCCTGAGTCGGAGTCTTTTGGAAAGGGATGAAATGTCAAATGACATTCTTGCCAAATTCAGGGCAATCACATACATGCTTAGAATTACACCAAGGAACACAGAAGCTGAGAAGGGAGCAGTGTATGACCAATCCGTGGTTATCAATGGTGGGCATGGTCTACTGGGTAGAAGAGCAGAGTAGAAGCTACAGGCCTAGCAAAACAGGAGGTGACCAAACCTCCCCTCTTTCCATTCCCCAGGGCAGGCCTCCTACATGATGGAGGCCTCAGGTAAGAAAAGAAAGCACTTTAAATGTAGTTCCAGTTAATGGCAAGAAACACGGGGCTAGAAATTTTATTAAGTGATGAGACCACTCTTGGAGCTAAAAGTATGGAGGTTTTTTGTTCAATATTATCTGCAGAGAATTCATAGAACTGCCCAAGATTTTAATCAAGGAAAACATGATCAATCATTACAACTACAGAGATTCTCCTACTTAACATCATCAAATTATATGGATTCAGAGGTCATGGCCAGTCATGCCTGAAAAACAAAACCACAAATGAATAACTCTACATTACAGTCAAGAGGCATGCTATTCCTGTTCTTTAATACTGATACGGCAAAGGTATTCTATCAATCACTAAGTCATAGTACCCCAAAGTGTGTGTGAGGGGTGCGGGAAGAGGCTCACCCATAGAAGGGATTCCATTGGTTGAGGATGAAGCAATCCCATGACTCCATGATACCAAGAGAGTCCTGCACCCATCATGAAAATACCAACACCACTAATCAGCGATACAATATAGCGCATATTTGAAAATCCATACCTAAAAAATAAAAAGATAATACAGTTTACAAAAATAAAAGTTACCTTTCAAAATGTTTAGTAAGTCAATGAAAAAGAAAACAAAAATTTCTTAAGACTATTAAGACTGGGCAGTACGGGGTTGGAGAGATGGTTCAGCAGTTAAGAGCACTGACTGCTCTTGCAGAGGACCCAGGTTCGAGTCCCAGCACCCACATGGCGGCTACGAATCATCCTTAACTCCAGTTCCAGGGGAATCCGAAGCTCTCTTCTGACCTCTGCAGCACTGCATGATGGGTGTGCTCACGTACATGCAGGCAATACACTCATACACATAAAATAAAAATAATAAATAAAATATTTTTTTAAAAAGACTATGCTGTATATAATTATACTTCAAACTGTGTGTTCAAAGCTCAAATTTCATTAAAAAATATACAAAGTAGGAAATATGCAAGATCTTTGAAAATATATAAAAATAAAGCAAATATCACTTAATTCAGGTATTTTCTAATCTCCATTTCATATAGTCTATTTTAGTTTATGAGAGCTACTTTACAATTATATTTCACAGAAGCCAGGAAAATTAATCTTTAAAAAAAAATTAATATGTTTAATGAATAGGATAACATTTATATTTCCTTGTATTATAGCTTTTAATAGAAGATTTTTGTTTTGTAGTAAAATCTACAATTTATATAACTTATAATTTTGATGCTCAATAGTGAACAGTTTAACAGATGAAATTTATTACTGATTCTGGACAGTGTAGTATACAGCAACTGTCAAGTATTACCAGAAATAATAGCTTCAGTTTCTGGGCATTTTCAACGATAACTTTTAAAAAACTCAACTATTTTTCTAAGTACCTTTGGTCAGAGTATACCATTAATTTGTATTATTTTAAGTAGTAGTAATGCAACACTATTAGGGGACTTGAAAACTATGACATATGTTTGAGAACTAGAATCATTCATTCACAAAAATATTTCCATGGAAATGTACTCTCAAACCCAAACATTATTGTGCTCTCCTGGCAGATACAGTTCAAACAAGAATCCTTAAATGAAACTGTTCTTGGAATTCTCTTTGTGCAAAGATGTGGTCTTACCATAGAGAATTCCCAGTGTATAGAGGTGACAATGTTTTACAAGTTTGACTTGTAAAGTTTACTGTTTTTTCTAAAGTTTTTCCCCAAAGTAGCATCAACTATATATTGATTTAGATTAAATTAATATCTAAATTAAGCTTCATTACTATTTATATCTAAATTACTTAAAACTAAATATAGTCCAAAATTTTGCTATACACGAACACTAATCACACTTATAGTGCTCAATAGCTACATGTAGCTAGTGACTACCATAATAGACAAACATGAAACAATTCTGATATTAGAGCAAACTGTATTGAGCAGTACCAAAGTCAATTATTGACTATAGTTTAAAGAGCAATCTTCACAACATAAAATTTAAACATTTTATTCTCTGATTTAAAATTTTTGATATACAAAATTGATAAGGAAAATTTTTTTCAAGAGATAGTGAAACATAGCAATGATGAATAATTAAGACTAGAAATCTATTTGTTCTCTACACTAGCTAACTGATAATTACAGGACACTCAAAATATGCTGTTATTATTATGTTACTTATTATTATTAAAACAAGAGTGTCTTAATTTTAAGTAAGGAAAGACACCTATCTATAGAGCATAAAGATGGACATCTTCACAGAGAGAAAAGTGTACGTTTTTACCTTAAGATTGATCAAACTGTATTATATCCGTAGCAAGTAAGACATGATTCAAAGGACTATATTCTAAAAAATAAATTCATTTTATAAATAGCTAATTTTGAAAAGTTATCAAAATTTTCCCAATCACAACAAAGCATTAAAATAAAATAAAAATAAGAATTTGATATAGGTTATTGTGCTGGATAGATAGACAGCTTTAGTGTGAACTTGACACACCTGGGTTGAAGGAGCCTCAATTAGGGAATTGCCTCTATTGGACTGGCCTGTGGCCATGTCTGAGGGGCATCTTCTTGAAGAGTGATGTGGGAGGGCCCAGCCCACTGTGGGTGGTGCCACCCCTGGGCAAGTGGGCCTGTGTTGCATAAGAAAGCAGGCTGAGCAGGGGCCAGGGGAGCAAGCCAGTAAGCAGCATTCCTCTATGGCCTGTGCTCCAGCTTCTGCTTCCAGGTTCCTGCCCTGAGTTCCTACCTTGGGATTCCAGATGAACTCTGACCCAGGATATGTAAGCTAAATAAACCATTTCTTCCCCAAGTTGGTAATGGTCAGAGTATTTTGTCACAGCAATGAAGAACAAACTAAGACAGTTATTGTCAAAATTTTAGATTAGGTAGTCACTCAGACTGAAATATGTATTCTTGAACCAAAATTAAATAGAACTCTTAAGATTTTTTTAAAGTGCTTTGTTATGATCAAATACAGAGATCTCCATGCTGTTTTATAAAGTATAAAAATAATTCTACCTTGAATCTACTTTGACGTAGCAGTGAACCCTGCATTTAGGTATTACAGAAGAAATAATCAAATTGAAATTGTATAAATTTCAGATTTCTGAAATTCATTTGTCTTTATTTCAAAAACTTACAGCTAAGACAAGCAAAAACACAACAGGTAATATTCTTACGGGTGAGAAGGATCTGGTGTCTGAACAGACTTACTGATGCCCAATGCTAGTAAACCCTGTGGAGAAGAAAAAGCAGTAAGCAATCATTAGCAAGATGGAGAACACAATGTGAGCGAGCCAGTTTGGAAGACACAAAGGACAACAATAAAGAAACAGTTAATGTACACATGGTGAAGGGCCAAGCAATTCTGATTTCCGGTACTTAGAAAAATAAAGATGAACCCAAAAGGATTCAAAACAACATTGTTTCTAATGAAAGGGTTGACATTCATGGGCATGGAGGCACATGCCTAAAACCGAACATATGGAGAAGCAGGAGGATCATGAGTTTTGAGACCATCCTTAGCTGCATAAGGAGACCCATCTGAAAAAACTAAAACAAATACCAAACCAAACCAAACCACCACTACAAAACAAAACAAAACACACCACACAAAAAATCCCAACCATAATATATGACTTCTACAGACACTTAAAAGAGAGAGGCTGGGGTAGAGTTTTATATACTGACATGGGGAAAGCTCCGAGATGTACCATTCAGGAAGGGGGAGAGAGAAAGCAAGTTAGGGGTAGCATCTACAGGGTATAAAGTAGTTGTGCTTTGCAGATTTTGTCAAGTACTTATAGTAGGAGAAAGCTTGAAATGAAGTACATTAACTATGGTTTTAACTGAAAAGTTTGAGTGGGATGATACCTGTCTTTTTTATAAGAATAACGTGTATAGGACAAAGTAAAAAAGCACATACAGCATAAAACATGTGAACACACACTTGTAGTGAAATGGCAACACCATGCACAAGAAGTACACATATCACTGTACATAGGATAGTGATTAGGGAATGGACGGAAAGAAATAAAAATGAAGAACTTGGGTCTGGAGAGATGGATGGCTCAGCCATCAAAAACACTGGCTGCTCTTGTAGAGGACCCAGATTCAGTTCCCAGCACCCACATGGTGGCTAACAACCATCTGTAATTCCAGTTCCAGGGGATCTGATGTCCTCTTCTGGTCACCATGGGCATTATATGCATGTGCTGCACTTACATACAGGCAAAACACTCATACACTAAAAAAATAAAAATTTTAATGAAGAACTTATTAACTAAGATTTTATTTCTTGGCTAGAGGCATAGCTCAGTGGTAGAGTGCTGGCTCAGTATGCACAGTGATCTGAGTTTGATTTGCAGCATCCCTTCCCCAACAAAAGATTTTATGCTTTAAAAAAAAAATCTAAAATAAATCCAATAAATTCCTGATGTATTTAACCCTAGCTGCCACATTCCTACAACTTCTTCCCTTTCCTTTTCCTTGACTTCATCTTTTCATCTTTAATTTCTACATTTTATTTTAATTTTTAAAGAATTATCCACTAGAAACTCTTGATATTAATAGGTTTGCTTTTCATTCTAGCTTTATGAAAATTTAGAAATCTATTAAAAATATCTACTTGATTAGAACCATTTAACAGGAATTTAAAGCCTCTGAGTAAATAACCTATGTGATTTGTTTTTTGATTGATCCTAAGATGTTCCCCTTTCCCAGCAGAGTACCAATACTCAAGTAAAGTTTGAGATAACTATACTAATGGATGAAGATTCCTTATAAATTATAAAATAAGTCATTTTTATAGCAAAACATATAAAGAATAAACTACTCTGAAAATGTCTGAAGCAAATATAGTTGGATTTTTATGATTTGATATTGGAAATTTAAATATATGTGTAGTGTTATGCCAACATTACAATAACCTGAACAAAAAAGCATGACTCTTAAATTTAGTTTTTAAGAGTGGACCCGAATTTGAAGGACACTCATTCACCCAGATATCTCTTGGAACCACTTGTTTCCTGGAACTGTGCTTTGCAGTCTGACTTCACTTGCATTTGTATTCAAACTGGTTTCCCCAGTTTCACTGGGAAAGTACAAGTTTGGATTCACTCTTATCTTAACAGACCATCCGGGCCTTTATATCATATCCATAGTTCTAGAATATCTCATTCACCCAATCTCAGGCATCCTTCCCAGTCTTCATTGTGTTCAATGAAACTGGGTGTGCTGTTTTTCAGTTCTTTCATAAGTTAATTCTCAAGCATACTCACAGTCATTCTTTATCTTTTTTGGGTGGAAAATCTAACTGAGGCTCCCAGGAAACACCTGGTCACAAGACACAAGGTTCATTGAGGTTTCCAGGGTTAATTAAGTCACTAGTCCAGATTCTGTCCATTTTATAAAAGTCATTCCTATAAATATGGAATTATCAGAAGGTGTTTTTTGTTTATTTTACTGGATTTCAAAGGCAAAGGAGGTAAACTACATAAAACAATGAACTAAATTCTCCTAAGCTTGTATAATAAAATTGTATTACATTTATTTGTGTGCACGTGCATATGTGTGTGTGTTTATATGGGCTCACACATACCATAGCATGTATGTGGAGGTCAGAGGACAACGTGCAAGAGTTGGCTCTCTCCTTCTATCACATGGGTCCTGGAGATCCAACTGAGGTTGCCAGGCTTTGTGACAAGCACCTTTACCCACCAAACCATCTTGCCAGTTCTTAAGTTTACATATTAAAATAACATTATGTTTACGTTAATGTGTATACAACTACTTTAAAAGTTCTTAGCACTTAATTTGGCGATGCAAAAAAGTCTGAAATACCATCAACTATTATATAAATTGAATAGTGCCATATTTATTTCTTTTAAAAAATATTTTATTCTCAAAAGACAAAAAGAAATTTTATTATTTTTATTTTATGTGTATGCGTGTATTGCCTACATGTAGGTAAGTGCACCCATGTCGTGCAATGCCCAGGGAGGACAGAAGAGGCTGTTGGATACCCTGGAACTGGAGTTAAGGATAGCTGTTAGCTGCCATGGGGGTGCTAGGATTTGAGCCTGCAAGAACAGCCAGTGTTCTTAACTCCTGAGCCATCTCTCCAGTCCTCACTATATTTCTTAGTTCCTATAAAATCAAGACACCATAGCTCATTTTCCTTTTGTTCTTTCCGACAGATGTAAGTTATGTGATATATATCTTTCCAGACGTTTTTGTATACTTTTATCACACAGACTAACAACACACAAGTCAGCCAATCTTTATATTGGCTTTGCTTGCAACAGTGACCATGAACAAAGTAGCAAATCTTCCGTTCTCTGGCATTCATTCCTTAATATCATACTATCATCACTCAGATGCCTAAATACTGCCTTGGCACAACTTTCTGCTTGTTTTATGTGCATATAATTTGCATATAAGAGAAAGGACTGTATCTTTTTTTTAAAAAAAAAATCTTGCAAATTTATGTGTTCAATAAATTCATGAGTTAATATTAAATGATACACTTTTTATTTTATTATTTTTATTTTATGTGTATGCATGTATTGCCTGCATGTATGTGCACCCATGTCATGCAATGCCAGTGGAGGACAGAAGAGGCTGTTGGATCCCCTGAAACTGGAGTTACAGACGGTTATTAGCTGCCGTGTGGGTGCTGGGATTCAAACCCAGGTCTTCTGCAAGAACACTGTTCTTAACCACTGAGTCATCTCTCCAGCCCAGATATACTGTGTTTTATTTAACAGAAAAGTTACCATTGTGAATGGTTACAGAAATTGTGAAACTAAATTATCATTAGAAGCACAGGTCTAACTTAAAAGCTGGAGGTATTTTCATCTCTCAGGAAGTAAAGAAAAAGAATGGCATAAAATAGTACAATGAATTGAAATTCTTAACGTGGTAGATCTCAAAGTTTTCAGAAGGACGTGGGAAACACAATGTCTATGCACTCAGTAAGATCTGGTTAAAATCCTTTTCCTCAACTTTTTTTTTTTTTGGTCTTTTTGAGACAGGGTCTCCCTGTAGCCCCAGCTGTCCTCGAACTCACTATGTAGACCAGGCTGGCCTTGAACTCACAGAGATGTGCCTGCCTCTGCCTCCCGAGTGCTGGGATTAAAGGTGTGCACAACCATGCCTGGCAACTTTTTTTTTTTTTTTTTAAAGCTAAAACCTACTATTCAGTGAGGACTTCTTAAGGCACAGGACATCACATGACCTAGATTCTAAAACTTATTTATTTTACATTGTTGTTTAATCCTTTACAAAAAAAATTGTTTCCTAGTTACTCAACTAGTACATACTCACTGTGAAGGAAGTTGAAGCAGTAAGGAAAGGGGACATTTTAAGAGTCTAGAGTATAATTCAGATTGTCTATATATTTCTGTGTAGTTTTTTGGGGGGAGTGGGGGAGATAGAGTCTCCCCATAGCCCTAGCTGGCTGGAACTCACTATGTAGACCAGGCTAGCCTCGATGTCACAGAGATCTGCCTGCCTCTGCCTCCTGATTAAATGGTATGTGTCACAACAGGCGAATTTTGTGCCAGATTTTGAAAAGGGAGTGTTCATACTTAAAAATATGACCACAGTCTACATAACCTCTTTTTGTACTTTATTTTATGGAAATTTCCTTAATTTACAGATGGATGAACACAACAATTCAAAAGCCTTCAGAGACTATTTCAATAAGCTCATCTATCACTAAGCTTCAACAGTCAGAAATCTATGAATGACTCTGTCTTATATAATTCATATATATTCCTTCATAAATATTTTTTAAGTAAATTGTAAGCATCATACAATCTTAATCTGGATGATTAATGCTTTCAAAAAATAAAGCCATTAGACTATTATATTTCTAAAAATTAATGTTAATTACATTAGTACTTTATAGCAAACATCTACTCAGTAATAACATTTCCGCATGAGTATTTTTATTTATTTAAAATTTTCACTTTTGAGAACTTCACAGATATATTTATATAGATGAAATATGACCATTTATTTATTTACTTAATTTGATTTTTTTGAGACAGAGTCCCACTATGTAGCCCTGGCTGGCCTTGAACTCACAGAGATCAGCCTGCTTCTATCTCCTGAATGCTAGGATTAAAGGAGTATGCCACCATGCCCAGTCCTGAAAATTTAAGTGTAAGGAAATTTGTACATGAATTCTTCCCCCAAGCCCTTTACCCAGGAACCTGGTTCCTTTCCCTG